CGTCCAAATCTTCACCTCAAAGACCCCTTATCTCCCAGACACGCTCTGTGTACCTTAATATGTCCGAATTACGACCTATCCGAAATAAAGAGAAAAACGGACAATATTAAGCTGTTTTCCTCCTTTGGCCAAAGGTGTTACAATAACAAAATAATTAAATACTAAGATGAGAAATGGACAAAGAAATATCTAAATGTAGAAATAGTAGGGTGATTTGATTCTGAAATTGAAATGTATCTTTCTAAAAAGCTATAAAAAAATCGTGTTTTATTTATTTTTATGTTGATTTCTTTTGTATACATGTTCAAACAAATTTGTTAAAAAATATGATTGTTGTCAGATTTGAAAAATAAATTTATTATAGAATGAGATATACAATGTATGTATATTGGTGCAATCTTTTGCAAAACAGTACAAATGCACTAAACTTATATTACTTTTAGTAAAACACGCATTACTATTTTTGGTAAAGAACACATAAACAATTATTTGCCGAAATAAATGCTAATAAGCTGGTGGATAAAACAGTTTCACCGCATTTATGCCCGGACCTGACATTTCTTTGACGATTTTATCATAGAATGCATATTTATTCGAGTTTTAAATATAAATATCTGACAATGATAAGTGTCTTTTGTTATACGATTCACTACAAAAAAATTCAAAGGTCTTATTTTTTAAATTTTATTCTCATTTGAATATGTAACTTGCAAACTTTTCATTTTGGACAGGCGGCGCTTGTTTTTACTTCTTTAACATGACCATTATAGTCGTAGGTATTTGATTTAGTGCGAAATATTGTTTTAATAATGATTATATTATTTTAACCTCCACGATTGCATGCGCAATTCCGCTGATGACAGGGGTAATAATAAAGTCAAACTTGACGGATAAGGCCGTCTTTTTGGCTCGGGCTACCAATAAGGCAATCATAAATTGATAATAAAGAATTCAGTTTTTTATTTTTACATGCTAACGTGGAATTGTCGTTGTTGAATATGAAATCGCAATGACTAGTATTTCTCTTTTGTTTGTGTACTATTTTAATTATTTCATATGCTTTTCCTTAATCATTTGGGAATGTCAACACAATTTAGACATGTGCTTGAAAACGAAAGAATGCTTTTGGGCTTTGAAATCAATAAATAGAAACTGTAGGAGTTGGGAAAGAAAGCTCGCCAACATAGAATCATGAATAAAGAAATATTTTGTTGTTTTCTTTACTTATTGTAACAACTAAAATAAGATATATTAAGAAGAATTTTGAAGACAAATAAGTCTGCCATTGGTCATTTTCCTGCCTTACACAATAGCTGAAAAATATACATGTAGCCCTTGCTACTATTTACACTCGTTTTCTTTATTTGCATATTTGTCTAATACGATTAAATTTAATCGAAAATTAAACAAAATTACTTATATTTGTTTTAAATCTGTAATGAGTATCTTGTTTATTTCTAAATGCTTATTCGAAGAATGTTTATGAATTAAGAACTATTGGATGACTTGCCATGACTAATTTAAATTAAATGCGGAAATTACGGACAAATGAAGACAATTTATTATCAAAATAAGTTACGTTTAACGTTCATATTGAAATCAACTTACTGTCTATTCTATTTTGTCAAATAAAAAAGCAGAATAATGGGCTGCAAATGTCAGTTAATTTGTAGTCAGAGACAAAGCAATAAAATTTTAACGGAGACTTTTAAAGTTACCGGTAACACCGTTTTTTAAAGAATAATCTAATTTACGGGCGACATTTTACCGCGGAAAACGTTTAAAGTAAATCGGCCGGTGATAAAACGGAACATTTAGATTATGATGTTGTAAATTTACGCGTTACGTCGCATATTATGCAAGTTACGTTAACGTGTGTGGTAGAGTCGTTAACGTCGTCGCTTGGCGTTTAAACTCTATTATGACAACTAATTACTAGATGTACAATTCATAACGTTGTCACTGTTTGACAAATGGACCAGACCACCGTGACGCTGGCTTATTATATATGTAATATTCTTGAATCACAAAGTTTAGTTGCCTTTGATTTTATTCTGGTGTCTCCCATTTTGTCTGGCTTAACCGTAAAGGCAAAAAATATGACGCGTTTTATGATAATTTTTTATACATATCGCATTTATCAAAATACTGTCCGAATCTTGTTCATTAAGCAAATAGAAGAAAAAAAACATAATCATTATTATTCCTTTATTCATTTCCTGACCTTGGAAAATTATTCAAGAAAAAACGTTGTTTTATTTGTTATTATTGATATTCAATAATTTTATTTTTGAAAAAAATAATAATAAAGAAGATATGTTACGTTACAGTGTACTTCAATTAAATCTTTAAGTTTTTTAGATTCTTTTTTATATCCTTCTTTTATTATAAAAAATATATTTTGTAGGTTTAAGGGGTGCTGCCAAGTCACAAAAATGACTTGACGCTTGAAAGTATCAAATAAGCAACAATTCACAACAACAGCTGTAACGTTGTCCCAAGATAAGCACCCATGAAACAACACTTGGCATTTATTTCTTTAATTTTCCCTTCAAACAAAACAACAATATACTTTAAATATCATTTATTTTGTTTCATTTTGGTGTTTGTTTTTTTACTTATATCCGGGCAGGCAATATGCTACACATCAAATCGTTTCTTAATTTTATATACACCTTAAACACCAATGGATATTAATAAATCCCCCTCCCCAACACCACCTCACCCCAACCCTTTTGACCATCTTGCTGTCTGGCTGTTTCCCTGTGTTAAATTTTAATATCTTTGAATAATTCTGTATTTATTAGAAATTAAGCAGTGCTGTTTCCAATTCATTTTCGACGCATAAACTTGCCTGATTCATTAGAAAAATTGCAGATTTTCGTGTTGTTCTTTTGTGTCTAAATATCTTTATGATTTGTCGCATTGTTAAATGTCTTTTATTACATGCTTTTCGGTGGTTTATAGAAATATATCAGTGATATAAAAACTGGTAATTTCACTGTTTGAAACAGTGAAATTACCACTTTGATAATTTCACTGTTTTGAATTTAAGCCCCTTACGTTGTTTCACTGAAATACCAGCGTGCACAGAACTGGATACCAACTTAATGACGTGACGTCATAAATGACGTCACGTTGTATTATTATTTGGCGCGCTTTTCATTCAGTATTAGGTTTAATGTCTTTTTAAAACGTTTCTTTGCATATAATAAAAAGAAAATTTGTTAAGTTTAGTGTAATATCAAAATATATTTCACCTTGTGAACACCAAAAGTTCATATTTCACTCGTGGCTGCGCCACTCGTGAAATATACCTTTTGGTGCTCACTCGGTGAAATATATTCCGATCTTACACTGAACTAAACAAATATCCTCTATATATTTTAAAGAAAACCTTATTTGTAGGCTCATCATTATTCATCAATTTATATTGGGACATATTCCGTCGCCTTTCGTTTTTTGCAGCCATTGATGGATCACGTTTATTCTAATCAATTAAAGTTTTTGGCAATACATCCATCATAACTTCGTAAACATTCGGCAATTTTCGTTATTTTTCGTGTCTTTTAATCGTCACATAAGCTATTGCTATGCCTAGGATCAATAAATAGTCCGGAAAACTGAACGCTTTATTAAAGATAATAATGATAATAATGATGATGATAATTAAGACTTTATTTCAAGAGGTATGACCAGTCTTCCGTTATGAGAAATATATGTTATATACGGAAATTTACGAAGAAAGTCGAAAATACACGAACCGTTGATAGCTGGAATTTCCTAAATACGCATCTTGTTTATATACATCCTTCATTGTTTCCTTTTTGTTTTCATTCTTTTTTTTACCTGTCTACTTTATCTATCTGCATTGTTACCGTACAAAAACATTTTTAATGATCTTCGGGCAATCGATTATTTTGTTCGGATATGTGATGTAGGTCTATTAAAAACTGAACCATAAAAAATGAGTAATTATGCGTTTGAGGATTAATTGAATATTTTGAAAACAATAAATTTAACATTGATAATACATCAAAATATAAAAAAACGCCTCTTGTTTGTATATCACGCTAACTTAGTAGGTGAATTTGTCTTCTGAACGAATAGGAAATATATAAATTATTATATTATTGATAGTACGTAATTTGTTCAAAGCAAATCAACTGATAATTATAAGATACACCGTAACAATATGTTTTGTATTTTTTCACTTAATATCAAGAAATTTAATAATTGTTTCTTCAATATAAAAAAAAATGTTCCTATCTTTTCATTAACTTTACAAAACAAAAAGATTGATTTTCGCACAATGCAATGAGCATAACAAAATATATAATAATAATAATAATAATAATAATAATAATAATAATAATAATAATAATAATAATAATAATAATTAATAAAAATAATAATAATAATCAAGAACAGCATTATGGTAAGAGTAAAAATATAAATAGGATGAAAATTCATCAACGTTCCACAACATCATGACTATAATACCATTAAAAACATATATTTTAGTAATTTTACATATTAATACAATGTAGATCTATATTCATTTACAATGATATATTTCGATCAATTTTGAAATGTCTTAGAAAAGCTGTGTCAGTTCTGTATGTTGTACATTTGCATTGATGAAAGTACATAGAGTTCGAGCATTATATATAAAAAAAAGATATTAATACGTCTTAAGGGAAATTCAATGTAACCAGTTCTACACGAGAAGTTAAATGAACCTTCAACGAAAGTATATTATTTGATGAAATAATCATAGAAATAAGAGCTTAATAATTCTCTGTATCACGGCAAAAAGTCTAGCGTTTATATGCTATATAAAATATATTTCTATTTTCTGATGTTGTTGTTGTTGCTGTTGTTGTTTTTAAATAACATGAAACGTAGATATAACATATAAGAAGTAAAAATGTTATTACTCTATGCGGCTAATTTACACTGGCCGCTACTTATAGATTATAATTCATTTCTACTTTCAGGTGATATGCAGAATGCGATCCATTTACCCTCAACAACTTTAGCGCCGACGGCCGTGACCTTGAGAAAACGTCGTCGTCCGTACTCTAAATTTCAAATCGCAGAACTTGAGCGGGAATATAACAGTTCTACCTATATATCGAAATCAAGGAGATGGGAGCTTTCCCAACTTATAAATTTATCTGAAAGACAGATTAAAATCTGGTTTCAAAACCGGAGGATAAAAGCGAAAAAAATCAGCAAACATGATGGTGATTCGGATAAGAACGATAGTCCGGATGTTCCTGACATGGGAATGCACATGAGCCAATGAGAAACGAGTTAGCTAGTAACTGCTGAATTATTTTATGAAATATATTTTGATTGAGTGTAAATATGAGAATTATTTAAGAATAAGTTCTCATGAATGACTGTTATATACTGAAATGATATGATCTTCAAACAGTGTCGGACATACTTACAAAGCCTGTGCTGATCACGTGATCCATATTACACTCATTTAAACGCCCTCAGCAAACATAAAAGGGCTTTTATAACATTGGCTCTATATATGGAGCGCTTAAATCATAACAAATGCCAAATGTGTTTTTGTTGTGAAACCAGATTTAAACTTATTCACTCAATGTCAAAATCAAGGAGATGCGTTTATGGTGCATAAAACATAAAATGTTTCCAGTTCACCCGACAGTCTTGTCTGGTCCCGATATAACAAGCACATGGTCTATTTGCAAATGCAATTTTGCAATGAATTTAACTGCCTACGTAAGAGGGTGCTGTGATTAGGGGCACGAGATGAAATAATATATATCAAATAATGAAAACAAATAATACACGTCATGCAACGGAGGACGTTTTCTCGGCAAAATTTACCGGAAGTGACGTTGGAAAGTGAACTTTTGTTTTTGATATGATTTGAAATATATTTGTAAGTGTGTTTGAATATAAATGTCCCTACAATTTCCATGTAATTAATGTCTAGGCATCACGGTTTGAATAAAATATATCCTTGAACCTGTTAGCAGCTATTTATAGAGTGAATAGATAAATAATGATAAATAATCTTCATAAATTACTGTATACTATTTATAGCAGACAAAGACATAATGCCGAATGAAATATGTTAGTTAGCTAGTAATTGAAAATTAGCGCACATTATTATGCAGTTGTTTAATTACAATATAGCGATACATTTCTATTTGCGCTATATTTTTAACATATTTGTATTTTAACTAGTTCTATAATATGATAAATAAATATCCTGAAATATTTTTTTTCTTTTAAGAATGTATGTTTGTGCTTATATAAAGGGTAAAATTCATGTACAAATTAACTCCATTTTCAAATAAAAATTATACTCATTTCAGTTTAAAGTAACATTTGTGATTTATAATTAGAAATACAACACAGTCATCTTTCAAAACTGAATTCGGCTGTTTTGACTGGAATATGAAGTATATAACACTCGTTGAGTAATAAACGTTGAGTAATTTCTTTTGTTATAGTCAATTTTTCAAATGTGTGGCATAAAAAATACAGTAACATGAAGATTGCTTGTTGAGAACGAAAAATTGCATGGCTCTTAATTAACAACATGTCTAAAAATTGTGCTAAGGTTTGTACAAGAAAAGAAAAATAATTTCTATGGGTTTTGTTGTCAAATATGCGTGTATTTTAGTATTCTCTCGTACAAATTAATTTCAGCAGCTAAGAAAAAATATATATTAAAAAAATGATAAAAAAGAAATACAAAAAAGTTTTATAATTTTATGATTAAAATATCGCGTGAACTTAAAAGTAAAAAATATTCATCTATAAAACTATATCTTTTTGTTTCTTATAATATGTTATTTTTTGCCTTGTTAACTATGTTGAGATGGAGATTAATTTTAGTTATTAATCTTACTTTATTTGTTATTAAATATTCGAGTATTATTATTTTTAGTTTAACGTTTAATAAGTTTTCAGGCATAGTATAATCATAAAGTTACAAAGTCATCGTAGAATGTTTTTTTTTAAACGTACTGAATTTAAACGAAATTAATTGCCTTTGACGTTTATTCCATAATTTTTGTACAACTTTAAGTATTTTTGTAAAAGAATTAAAAAATCGTTCGTTTTAAAATGAATCCTTCTTTTGTTTATTATTGTAAGGAGTTTAAAAGTATCATAATGATATTCACCTTTGTAAATTATTAAAAATAAACATATCAAATTGGTTAATAAAATTGATATAATATTATTTCAGACCAAAACCCAGTTTATAAAACATATTTTGATAATAATTTGGCTAAATAATAAAAAAAAACATTCGTATAACCACCCGGTAAACACCGCTTAGTATATTTCGTTAATTTTATTATTTTCATAAAATGATTCTAAATAATACTTTGCCCACAATAAATGGCAAGATTATTTAAAATATTCTACGAATCTAAAAGTGTTTACTATTTAATAAATTTAACGATGTTAAAGAAATATTTCGTTTGAGAAAATTTAAGATACAAATCATGTTCGGCTAAGTTTAGGCTATGTGGTTTGTTTATCGTCATAAAGTTCCACATGTATATTAATGGTATTGTATTGAAGCCCAGTCGTGTGTTATTTGACGCATGGTTAAATCATGTCTTAAATGGTTTTATTTACGAGCAATTTTCTCTTCAAAATATATGTCCATCAACTTTGTAATAAAATTAATTGAAAGTAGAACTTAACATGTGTTTAAAATAAAATATCACTGACTAAAAGGCACATATAAATGTGATTATATTGAAAATGAAAAAAGTCATTTTCATATATGAATTTAAAAACAAAACTTTCTTGTTTTTAAGAAAGTTCAAAGAATAATTAAGGTAAATTATTCTAGCTTTTGCAGTCAGTATATTAATTCTAGAGTAGATTTATATTTAAAAAATGTATTTCATATATTTTCTACAAATTCCTCTTTATCAGAGTTAACTTTTTCGTCAAATTAACGTGCAGTTAAATTTCATTTATAATAATTTTCAAACATTTATATATTAATATAGAATACATGTTTATCAGCTAACTTACCTTAAATAGATCGGGGCTTTTTCAGTTTGTTTTTTTTAAAGTTTTTTTTTCTTATTTTCTTTTTCACCATTTTATAAGAACATAAAATACAAAGGTTTGACTTTTGTTTAGACTAAAAACTCTAAACATCTTTATTTGTTGTACATTTCTTACAAAAAATCATTACAAATGTTTTAAGAAATATTTTATTTACATTACAAATACATACATGTATAATATTATGTTGTTCAAGAATGACAAAACCAGTCTTAATTCACTGTTTATTATTTTAAAAGAACAGCTGCTATTAAATCGAAATAATGCCACTTGAAATCAATATTCATATATAAATATAAGCTTTTCATTTGGAAACAAAACATTATATAATATGCTTACAAATACATGTTTTGAAAATCATATCTACTGGCAGAAACACTTCTGAGGACAAATTATTGTCATTTTGGTAATTACACACTTATAGCATATCAAAAACTGATTAAATCATAAAGGTGTATTGTAAAAATAAATATATAGAAACATATGATTATTGCCCTTTTTCTGTAACTGATTTTTTTATATATATTTGTTTTAAGGCATTTCACATATAATGTTTGTTTGTTTTATTTGTTTTGGTCTGATATTATTGTGTAAAACATTTTTAAAACAAGTGCAGTATATCTCCGTTTTTATTGTTGCTGAAAAAGACAACACTGTCATTCTTACGACAATACAAGACCATACATTCTCTGTAAGAAAAAAGCAACAACATGAAATATATTGCTAAAACAGCCGATAAGTGTTGAGCTGTCTTGTTAAATCGTATACGCTTTGAAGACGACATGAGTGTTTTTGGAGCTGTGAATTAAAACACATTTACGTTATTTTAAAATAACGGCTAATATCCGGGCATTTAATGACGTTAATTCGTCTGCAGCTAAGTTCAACTTATTTACGTATTATTTCATTAATTTGACGGATGGGTTTTTTATACCTTTTCTCTGTTTTTTTTCTTCTTCTTTTTCTTTTTGCCTCATGTTTTCATTGTATACTTTCATTTTAATTACTTCCATTATTACTTTATTATGATGTTCTTCAAAAGGTTTCCTATGTGTATAACGTGATTAAAATGTGCTCAGAACTTTAATTTGTTTTGTTATTATTTCAACAAGTCTACAGAATTGCATTAGCAAGCAAATGAGAGATAATAATTGCATTTCATTTCAGCAAAAGATGTCCCTTAAACATGTAATATAAAACGTTGTCAACAAAGCATTGACCTTTCATAAATTAAGACGTGTCAAATTTGTATTTTAAAAGCGAAACGAAGGTCTTTGTTCGTCCTTGGCATGTAACCCCCAAATACATTAAAGTCGTTTCCAATGAAAGTGACTTGGTGCTGAAAACACTTACCTCCTTATAAAAAAGAGCCCCACCTCAACAAACCCTAGCGTTTTAGTACGACATTCTAAATTTCATGGCATTACGATATGTTTAGAAAGGTTTAAACTAGTCATAAGAAACATTTAGGCAAGTCCTTAATAAATTTTATGGATTAATTTACAAATTTATTGCATTATAGTTGTTTCTAAAAAAAAAAGAACATGAAAAATAAATAACCAAAAAACTGCTGAAAACGCATTCAGTAATGGCCGTTTTGTTTCAAAGACTTCGAATATTAATTGCTGATTTTTCATTAAATATACATTCTGAAAGATAACTAACCATGTCGAATGATGTCATTAAGGGAATCATGGTATATGGTAGAATAATTCAACTAACTGATTACTTTAAAACACTTTATGGTGTGTTTAGCATCAAACCTGATAAATATGGTCTTCTGGACCATATCTAGTGCAAAGTGAAAGGGGGATAACTAAGGTAAAACTCTGCAGCATCAGAAGGGACGATGAACTTGGTGAATCAATCTAGTCTTCTTTCCGGATGAAAAACTAAACGTGACAATCACGATCTTTATTACCGTCCAATAAAATCTTCAAAAATATGTTTGAATAATGAGTCACACACGTTCATTGTTGTATTATTTTTGGCGGTGAATTTTTAAGTTAATACGAGCACCCTAAAGTGTCATATTGCAAAAAATAATAATATTGTTTGTAAGCATATTGCTTTTCAACATGATCATAAAGATGATAATAATGAAATACAACAATGCATTATGTATTGATTTTAAACCAATAGAAAAAAGTGTTCATTTTTTACATCACAATTCAAAACGCTTGCAAGAACTGTCCGGGAAATTCTGCTTTAATATTACCTTGTCCTTTAAATATTAAACATTAGACTTTTGCATCTCTCAAAAGCGGCCATTTTTGTTACATTTACTTTTTAAGATAAAATAATCCAAAGGTTTGTCTGTTTTGTTGCATTCTGTTGTTATAGAGGACTGGTGTGTTTTAATGTGTGATTTCTCAAATATACAAACATGTTACATGTTTCCAAGACATCGCATAAAACATCACAATACAAGTGTGCACTATTGCACAATGTATTCCACGTTGTATGGAATCTGATAAGAAACATTAAGCAACAAAGAAAATAAAGACAACACGCCGTTTTATTGAGCAAATGTTGAGAACTCAAAAATTACGACACGCCCCCTTTCTCGCGCGCATCCTAGCAACCATTGTATCGAATAAAAAAAGATGAAGGTGCAATCAATAAGCTCCTACAAGGAGCGGACAATAATATTAAGACAAAATATTATCGCAGGTGTTAATTTTTGTATATACCCGAGGTGCATTTGCATAACACATAAATGCTGTTTATTGTAGACCTACTGACCGAAGTAACATTATTTTA